GAAACTGATTCAGAGACTGTGGGGCCCAGAAACCCAATTAGAGTAACATTCATGCATTGAGTAGACATATAGGCATGAGAATCACCACTTTCCCCTTCCTCCTTTTTTTAAAATGCCCACAAATGTGCAGGTAACACTGCTATTTCACCCATCCAGGATCTAAACCAGTGGCTCCACATTCTGAATCTGGGTCTTGCAGTAAACCTTTTATCTGAGAAATGCAAATCCTTTTAATTATATGGCTCAAAGAGACATCAAAATGAGACCACAATTATGTCTTTCTCTCTCCTTTGAGCTCTGTATTTATCTCTTGAAACTGCTTGCTATTGCCATAAGTAGCTATAAATTAAACTAATAATGCCACACTGAACACTATGACCCACACCCTATACAGTTTAGCAACATATGTCAATCAGTAATCAAGGTTAGTTTTAGTAAATAAGAATTCCTGACAAACAATTTTGCATCAGCCCACTCTCTGTCTGTTTTTGCCTTTAAAAATCCACTTGTAACTGCTGCTAGATTCCAGGCAACTTGAATCTTTGCTCCAAGTTTACAATCTTCAAGCTTGGCCCAATGAACTGTCTACTTATATTCATGTTTCCTCAGCGTTTTCCTATTAAGGAGGAAATTAAGGACATATTATTTAGAATGTGCCAGAGCAGCCTTTATGAGGGGATCTCTCCTTTGGTTGTACTTTTCTTGCTGTAACACCCAGGAATGCAGAGCCAGGTTGACCCCACCTAGAATCCACACATAAGATCTGGCCTCTGCCTGGGATTTACAAGACAGTACTAGACTTTGGATTAAGAATGTACAGAAAACCGACAGGAGGCATTCTCTGCATTGTGAGATGTCAACATAGACATCTTAAAGCTACCTCCTTTGATAGTGTGGCTATTTGAGTTTTTCAGATCTCATTCAGTGACCTGTTACTGTTACGTGAGAGGTGCCAGGTATAAATAGAATCTGATGGCAGAATCTATAAATGTAAACAAAGCATCTTAGGATTGAGAGATCAAGGCCACAGAGCATCTTAGGAGTGAGAGATCAAGGTCACAAAGTATCCAGAGCCATGACTACAACTATAACTACCTGTAAAAAATGTGATACTGGAGTAGAGTATTCTTGTCCTTCCTCTTACCCAAAGACTACCTGATCAGGACAGGTGAGCCAGGTTGTGGAGCTCCACCAGGGCCGTTCTGTTTTCTATTTAGAATCAGCCTGAGTCTCTACTGCCTGGCTTACCATTGGGCCATCAGCCCAGGATCACTGAGAACCCTCTCACAATCACCTAGGCATCTTTGAAACATTTGAGGATGTCCAGAGTAAAACTGTGTTAGGCTGACAAGAGTGGTTAATTCTGCTTTTGTCTCAGTGTAAGAGAAATGAGTCATGCCAAAAAAATGTGGGCTTCATTTGGGCCACTTCTTTATATTGCTGTGACTTCTGAGGTCATCATTTGAATGGATGTTTATGGACAGAAGAGTTGTTACTATTATTTCTGTTTCTTTTACCTTGTTAAGAATACATGCTTATCTTCTAACAAAATTACCCTAGAAAACCCTAAGAGATTTGTTTAAATTGCTTATTAGTATATGTTATACAGTTGACAGGGCAGTGGCTAAAAAAGATTAAATTACACAAACTGTGGGATTTAAGTTTCTCGTAGGTAAGCTTAGGAAAAACAGAACAGGAAATACCCCAGTGGCATAGAGAGCAGAATTCTACATAGTGTCCTCTCCCTGCCCCAATTCTGTTCAGAATCACCCTTTTTGGAGGCCTTAAGCCAAGGTCTGGCTTCACCTTGGAGTCTAGCCTCATAGAACTGATTAAAAGAGATAAGTGTTGGGTGATGAATTCTGCTGCCTTTCTAGAGCTGTTGCTGAGAATTTCCTGAAATCTAAAAGCAGATAAATGGGAAAAATAAAGTAATGTTTTAGGGCCTTAATTTCTTAATTTTGTATTGAAATCAGTGCCTGCAGAGACATGCCATTTAGCAACTTATTCCTTATTATATTCCTGAAGACCCAGTAGTTGCTCCACAAGCCACAAACAAGTAAATATAAACACAATAAAAATTCCTCCAAACTACATTAAACTCTTTTCTTTATTCCTCTCATCTGTCTATATGTAGCTTTTATTCTGTACATTTTTCAAAAAAAATAATGACAAAGGAGAAATAAAAATGCTGGGCCCTTTATCTAAATTCTGGCAATTATTAAACAACTCCCAGGGTGTTACGAGGATTAAATCATGTAATGTTTTATTCCCAGCAGTGCTCTGTAACATACTCTTGAGGACATAGTATCTGTTTAATAAACATTGCATTAGTGTATGTGTAAATGTTTTTTTCCAAATGCAGACTTCTTTGGACATTACTGGCCTCTGTTTCCTCTGTAAAGAGCCAGCAAAGAATATACTTTAGGATGAAGATTGGTTGTCTTTATTTGTACCAGAAGTATTTATGTTGTGACAAATGTGCTGAGTGTAAGGGACTCTGTGATGTGCCTGCTTTCTCTAGCTAGTGCTAATAATGAGCGCAGGGGAAGCAACATCAACATCTATAGAGGACTTGTTTAAAATACCCGTTCATGGACCCTTTTCAAACCTGCAGAATCACATTATATAGAGTGGGGCCAAAATCACCAAGCGATTTATAAGCTCATCAATGCTTGAGAGATAATACTTAGCTAAGTGTTTATCAGCCCAGGCTTCTAATTAAGATTACGTAGCCAGTTTGCAGAAATCTCTATTTGTGCCCTCCCCACAGGTTCTGTTCTATTGTTCTGGAAGCATCCATATTGCTTGAAGGGCCTCATGTGACTCTAGGTGAGGCCAGAATCTAGTATGAGAGGTTCAAGATACATTCGTGAGTGTTAAGTTCTGTCTTTGCACTAAAGGGCCTGTTCTCCTTGGGTTTGGTAGGGACAAGGCAGAGTGGCCCATATTTCCATTACTTTAGCAAAAATTGCTGGTGTCTGGTAGGAGAGGGCACCTGAGGACAGGAAAGGAGAAACTTATATCTTTATCTCCATAGAGCAGCTTATTTTTCTTGAATCTCTTCTGTTATAAAGGATGGAAATGGGTGGGCTTTTTCTGCAGGTCTTGGACCTTTTGCCTGTGGGTGTGATGGTAGCAGGTAAACAGGTGGTGCCGACACCTTTAAAGGCATATTCTCCAGATTCAGGTGTAATTTCTCCAGAGAATCTCATCTGAGAAGAAATCCTAGAGCAGGAGGAGAAAGATGAAAAAATGGCTATTTTTCAGCTAAAAATGTCTCAGATTAAGAGCTGTGTCCACTGTGCCTCCTGGAATGCCATGTGTTTAGTACTTACAAACCTTTACTTCTCTACTTGTGCTTTTCCTCCCTAATGAGTTTGTTTTAACTACTTTAAAAATTTTTTCATTATAGTCAAGTGTGTGAAAAATTTTTATTTACTTATTTTTGAGACGGAATCTTGCTCTGTCACCCAGGCTGGAGTGCAGTGGCGTGACCTTGGCTCACTGCAATCTCCGCCTCCCAGGTTCAAGCAATTTTCCTACCTCAGCCTCCTAACTAGCTGGGATTACAGGCGCATGCCATCATGTCTGGCTAATTTTTTTCTGACAGGGTTTCACCATGTTGGCAAAAATCATTGGCATTATTGGTGATCTTCTTAGAAATTAAGAAATTCAGACTTTATTCCAGATGTTCTGAAAAAATATATGCATAACAAGATCTTCAGTTTATCATACACATTAAAATTTGAGAGGTCCCTTCTAACTCCACATCTTTTCCATCTGAAACATATACACTCAAAAATGTATGTTTGTGTTCATGCCCTTAATTTTATACTTTATCATCCAGAAAAGTGTCATATATATACTCTCATGTCATTCCCTTTTCTCAGAGTTATATTAGAAAATATTTCTGTATTGAAAATTATTTTATTGGATAATTTCAATCACTCCTGTAAGTCAGAACTTGTTCTCTCTACTCTTTCGTTTCACCTTAAGTCAAATGAAAAATTCTGCCCATGTCCACTTAGTAAACATATGTGTGTTTGTGTGTGTGTGTGTGTGTGTGTGTTTTTCAGGGACCACTGACATTTAGGGATGTGAAAATAGAATTCTCTCTGGAGGAATGGCAATGCCTGGACACTGCACAGCGGAATTTGTATAGAGATGTGATGTTAGAGAACTACAGAAACCTGGTCTTCCTTGGTGAGGATAACTTCAATACATAATTCCTAACGTACTCTAAAGATTTCATTTCTCTTCTTTGTAGAATGTCTTTTGGTAATTTATGCTTTGCATAAATGAGTTTCAGATCCCAGTTTTCAAGAAAACAGATTTGTCAGTGTAGAAAAGAACTTCTTCAAGATGTTTCATTTTGACCTGAACTCTCCACATTCCTGAGCTGATCTTTATCCTTTACTCTAAATTAGTGGTAATTCCAGAAATTTATTGGCATAAAATATTGTTGCTACCACCAATTTTTCATTTAGTAAATTTAGTAGTACTGGGCAGTATTAAGTAAAATTAAAGATCTACAAATGTAGGCCAGGCATGGTGGCTCATGCCTGTAATCCCAGCACTTTGGGAGGCCGAGGTGGGTGGATTACCTAAGGTCAGGAGTTTGAGAGCAGCCTGGCCAACATGGTGAAACCCTTTCTCTACTAAAAATACAAAACTTAGCCAGGCGTGGTGGTGGGCGCCTGTAATCCAACTACTCAGGAGGCTGAGGCAGAATTGCCTGAACCCAAGAGGTGGAGGTTGCAGTGAGCTGAGATCGTGCCATTGCACTCTAGCCTGGGTGACAGAGTGAGGCTCTGTCTCAAAACAAAAAAATCTACAAATTTAAAATATTTTAAAAATATTTAGATATTTGTCATAAATTAGTATTTGGGGATTAATTTACTAGATTAATCTATTACATCTTCTTTACTGAGCATGTTACTATGTTGGTAATTGGAGAATGTGAGCAAGATTTATGTTACTTATTTTTAATAAAACAGGTATTGCTGTCTCTAAGCCAGACCTGATCACCTGGCTGGAGCAAGGAAAAGAACCCTGGAATATGAAGAGACGTGAGATGGTAGACAAAACCCCAGGTAGGTGACAGTTAATACAACAGACGACACAAATGAGAGGTCCAAAAGTCAAGGAGAAGGCCAGTCTTTTTTGAGACGGAGTTTTGCCCTTGTTGTCCAGGCTGGAGTGCAAGGGTGCGATCTCGGCTTACTGCAACCTCTGCCTCCCAGGTTCAAGCGATTCTCCTGCCTCAGCCTCCTAAGCACTGGGATTACAGGCACCCACCACCACGCCTGGCTAATTTTGTATTTTTAGTAGAGATGGGGATTCTCCATGTTGGTCAGGCTGTTCTCAAACTCTCGACCTCAGGTGATCTGCCCGCCTCAGCCTCTCCAAAGTGCTGGTATTTACAGGCGTGAGCCACTGCACCCAGCCTCAGTCTTTACAATGTAATTTGGGAAGTTGTTTCCAAAAAAGAAAGTTTCTGGGAAGCCTCAAACTTTTGTTTTGCTCTCACATAGGGGCATCTTCTGTCTAATGCTTTTAAATTTTCTAAGGTGATCTTCCTTCAAGTTTACAGTGAAAGCCAAAGTCCTTTTCATGGCAATAAGAGACTACACAATCTGACTGCTTTTCCGTTGCTTTTGAGGACACACAAATAACTGCATAATTTTGAAAAACTCTGTTAAACTACTTTTCTTTTTGTTTTTTTGAGATAGAGCTTCGCTCTGTTGCCAGGCTAGAGTGCAGTGGTGCAAGCTTGGCTCACAGCAGCCTCTGCCTCCTGGGTTCAAGCAATTCTCCTGCCTCAGCCTCCCAAGTAGCTGGGATTACAGGCGTGCACCACCACACCCAGCTAATTTTTGTATTTTTAGTAGACATGGGGTTTCTCCACGTTGGCCAGGATGGTCTTGATCTCTTTACCATCGAGATCTCGTGATCTGCCCGCCTCGGCCTCCCAGAGTGCTGAGATTACAGATGTGAGCCACTGTGCCAAGCCCAGAAATATATTATTAATATTATTATTATTTTTCTGAGACGGAGTCTTACTCTGTTGCCCAGGCTGGAGTGCAGTGGTGCAATCTTGGCTCACTGCAAGCTCCGCCTCCTGAGTTCATGCCATTCTCCTGCCTCAGTCTCCTGAGTAACTGGGACTATAGGCGTGAAACGCCACACCCGGCTAATTTTTTGTATTTTTAGTAGAGATGGGGTTTCACCATGTTAGCCAGGATGGAGAAATGTATTGTTTTAATGCTATTACAAATAAGATTGTTTTTTCCTCTGTTATATCAGGTAGCTTATTTTAAGTGTGTGGAACCATAGCTTGTATGTTAATTTTATATTGTGCTGATTTACTGAGTATTAGTTGAGACAGGTATAAATGTTTATGATTTTCTCTGTATAAGATTGTGTGATCTATAAACAGCAACTTTTTACTTATCTGTCTTCAATTTCAATGGCTTTTTAGAACTTTTAAAATTCTTTTGCTACATACTTCCAGTGCTATGTTAAAATAGAAGCATTGACATTGGCACAATATAGTTTTGCATTGGTGTTTGTAAATTTGAAGGAGCAAACACCTCTTCAAGTTTTGATAAACTGGTTTTAGAAGGTAAAAATCTTTTGTTGGGTTCCCAGGGTGATGGGATGCCCTCTGGATTTGTTGTGGAGAGGGGTGTAGCTTGGTCACAAGGCTGCTGGGTCTACACTAGGGTCCACCTTTACTGGCTTGTTACAAGGGGCTTGGGTAATTGTAATTTCCATTTTATTTTTGAACAGACTCCATTTATTTTTTTCCATTTTATTTTTTTCCATTTTATTTTTGAATAGCCTCCAGGACTTTACTCTGTAGGGCAGACAGTAGGGCAGGTTTCTGTAGTCCGGTCTGCATATAGTGGACCTTATATCAGGATGTGGATGAGTATGACTTTCACTGAGTACCAGAGAGGATTTCCCCAGGCCACTGTGTAAGTTTCTGTGTAGATATAACTGGCCATAAACTGTGGCTCAGAGAGTTTGAACTGAGTCATTAAACTGCTTCAGAGACCACAGTAAAGGCCAAGGTCTGCAGGCCCCCCTGCCTGCATGGCTATAAATGGTTATCTTTCTTCAGGCCGCTGGAAGGGCAGGACCTTTTCCAGACTGTGGCTGGGAGAAGTTTGTGATGGTTACAGAGTAAGTTCAGAATTCTTAGTGGGACCAAGTTTGGTGGGCCATTTTCTGGTCTGTAGCCAAGAACAGGAGTCCTTTAGTTTGCCTCCTGAATGAGGGCCTGCTTTCTGAAAACAACACTCCTCAATCTTGGGTTTAGCATTTCACAACTCCCTCCCTGGATCTCAAAGCTCTCTTAAAGGCACTTATTTTTGAGATGAGGTCTTGCTTCATAACCCATTCTGTTCTTGAAATCCTGGCCTGAATCAATTCTCCAACCTTAATGTATAATGTAGCTTTCATTACAGGTGTGAGCCGTGATGCCTGACTCTCTCAAAAGGCATTTTTATGAGGGATGGCTGACGCATTTGCTTGCTATTGGAGGACAGCAAAATAAGGCACCTTTTATTGTCCTATCTTCTGATGTCACTCTTCCTATACATTTTTACTTTGTATTTTCTATTTCAAATTTGTCTGTAGCTTTAGAATCAGACCTTTAGGACAACATGCTAGAATTTACATGTTATGCCTGAAGTAAATTAGATAATTAGTAGGCACTACATAATTACTAAAATAGTTACTTATAAAATTAAGTTTGCTGCAGGCGAAAAGGAATAGTATTTTCATTCACCCACTTTCTTTAGCCTATATCTAAGTAATAACATAATGTGTCCCCCAAATATTTGTTTTATGTATCAAAGGCACTAACTATATTCAACAAAATAAAAATTTTTTCTTTATTTGGCAAACGTAAAGCTATTCTTTGCTTCTAAAGTTGGATTGCAGCAGTTTCACCTTGTGTAAGAATAGCATATATTTAAAACATAAAAATTACCTCAATTTTAAAAAATGCTTAGTTATTAAAAGTTTTTTATTAGAATCCTCTATGTATGATTATACTGCATTTTCTCTGAAATTTTACTGCCATACATACTTGCCTTCCATGAGTACACAGTTACAGTCAAATATTGCAGTTATCTAGACAAATTCTTTTTAATGGTACATCAATATTGCAAACCAGATTTTATAAGTAAACATTTCTCTTAATGTTTTACAGTTCCATATTACTGTTTATTGTTTAGGTTTCTTTTTTTTTTTTGAGACGGAGTCTTGCTCTGTCACCCAGGCTGGAGTGCTGTGGCCGGATCTCAGCTCACTGCAAGCTCCGCCTCCCGGGTTCCCGCCATTCTCCTGCCTCAGCCTCCGGAGTAGCTGGGACTACAGGCGCCCGCCACCTCGCCCGGCTAGTTTTTTTTTGTATTTTTTAGTAGAGACGGGGTTTCACCGTGTTCGCCAGGATGGTCTCGATCTCCTGACCTCGTGATCCGCCCGTCTCGGCCTCCCAAAGTGCTGGGATTACAGGCTTGAGCCACCGCGCCCGGCCATATTGTTTAGGTTTCTTATCGGTTTATTTTGTTTCTTGTTTTTACAGTTTTAGCAATTTGCACTACTGTTTGTACACTTTAAGTGAATGTTGGGTTTAACTAAGAAATAAATCAGCCTTATGTCCATCATAGTCTGATTATATATGTGTGTGTTTTTATCTATAAATATGACCTTAATTTTGGTTACAGCATTTCTTGTGTATATTCTTTCTTAGCTGATTTTCAATGGTTGTTTTGTCTAAGTGAGTAGTCCTGGAAATACTCTTCTTTTCACCATGTGTTTAATGATAAATATTACATAATTTCCTTTGGGTAAGAGAGACACTTTTGTAATTTGAAGGTAATTTTTGGAAAGATTTATAATTGTATTTTTTTTTAGTTTTTCTTTTAAAAAGTAATTGTTGTAAAAACACATGACCTAAAATTTACCATCTTAAATCTACTTAAGTTTACATTTCCTGGCCAGGCATGGTGGTGGCTCACATCTGTAATCCTCAGATTTTGGGAGGCCAAGACAGGAGCATCACTTGAGCCCTATTTTTTTTTTTTTTTTTTTTGAGATGGAGTTTCACTTTTGTTGCCCAGGCTGGAGTACAATGGCGCCATCTTGGCTCACCATAACCTCCGCCTCCTGAGTTCAAGTGATTCTCCTGCCTCAGCCTCTGGAGTAGCTGGGATTACAGGCATGTGCTACCACACCCGGCTAATTTTGTATTTTTAGTAGAGACAGGGTTTCTCCATGTTGGTCAGACTGTTCTCCCCCTCCCAACCTGAGGTGATACGCCCGCCTCAGCCTCCCAAAGTGCTGGGATTACAGGAGTGAGCCACGCGCCTGGCCAGAACCCAAATGTTTGAGGCCAGCTTGGACAACATATGGAGACCCCTTCTCTACCACTTTTTTTTAAAATAGCCAGACATGGTGGTTGTCATCTGTGGTCCCAGCTACTTGGGAGATTGAGGGGAGAGGACTACTTAAGCCTGGAAGTTTGAGGCTGCAGTAAGCCTTAATCGTGCCACTGAACTCCAGCTTGGGTGACAGAGTGAGACCCTGTCTCCAAAAAGCTGTACATTTCAGGCGTGTTAACTATATTCACATCATTATGCAAGACTTCTAGAAATTTTACATTTTGTAAAACTGAAACTCAGTACCCATTAAGCAATAACTGCCCATTTTACCCTCTCTCCAGCCCTTGACAAACACCCTTCCACTTACTGTTTTTATGAGTGTGACTGTTTAAGATAGCTCATATAAGTGGAATCACACAGTATCCATCATTTTCCTACTGGCTTATGTCAGGTGACAAAATATTCTCAAAGTTTATCTTAAAATGTGACAAACATTTTCTTTTTTAAGGCTGAATAATATTCCATTGTATCGATATGTTACATTTTTGGATGTGTTTATAAATCAAGAAGGCAGTTGGGTTGCTTCATCCTTTTGGCTTTTGTGAATACTGGTACATGGATGTTCAAATACATTTTTAAGATCCTATGTTGCATAGTTTGGATATAGATTCATAAATGGGATTACTGTGTTTAATAATAATTCCATTTTTAGTTATTTGAGAAACATATAATATTTTAAAATAATGGCTGCATCCTTGTTTTTCACCAAAAAATAACATGGGTTTTATTTTCATTGCATCATCAACAGATTTGGTGCCTTTTAAAAAATTTTATAGTGGCTGTTCTAACCGGTGTGAGGTGATTTTGTTTTTCATTGTGCTTCTTATGCATTTCTCTACAAATTAGTAATTTTGTCTGTCCTTCAAATGCTTTTTCCCATGTATATATCTCTTGATAAAGATTCAGTTAAAGTTCAATATTACTGAACTTTATATGATAAACTTTATATGGTAAAGTTCAATTTCTTAATTTCTGTTCTTCATACCTTCATTTCTCATCAAGTTATTCAACTTTATTGTTCAGTTTGAAGAGTTGTTTATATATTCTGAATATTAACTCCTATCATATGTGATTTGCAAATATTTTCACTTATTGTGTAGGAGACATTATCACTCTCTTGAATATTTTCTTTGATGTGTAAAAATTTTGAAGTATAGCGTAATTCAATTTTTCTATTCTTTGTTGCTCGTGCATTAATATTGTAAATGGTGCCAAGACCAATATAATGTCTTTCCTCTATATTTTTCCTAAGAGATTTGTTAGTTATTTTTTTATGTCTAAGTGTTTTATTTAAAATAATTTTTGTATATGGTTCAAGGAAAGGATCAGACTTTATAAGTGTTAATATCCAATTTCACCATTTTTTTGAAGAGATTATCTTTCCTCTATTGTGTGCTCATGGCAACTTTGTGGAAGATCATTTGATCATATACAGAAGGGTTCATTTCTAGGCTCTCTGTTCTGTTCTTTCATCTCTTTATCTGTCTTTGTGTCAGTACCACATTGTTTTTGTTATTGTAGCTTTTAATATGTTTTGAAATCAGGAAGTATAATGCCCGTTTGTTCTTTTTCATGGGTGTTTGCATAATTATAGCTTTTAATCAAATTTTTAAAATTTAGACAATATTTATGTTAAAAACTATGTGCTATGGTATTTTTATAGAGATTATGTTGAATTTCTTTACCACTATAGGTTGTACTGACATCTTAAAAAAATGAAGTGTTTTTTTTTGTTTTTTTTTTGAGACCTCGTTTCACTCTTGTTGCCCAGGCCAGAATGCAATGGCTGGTGCGATCTCAGCTCACTGCAACCTCTGCCTCCTGGGTTCAAGCGGTTCTCCTGCCTCAGCCTCCTGAGTAGCTGGGATTATAGGCACCCACCACCATGCCTGGCTAATTTTTGTGTATTTAGTAGAGACGGGGTTTCACCATGTTGGCCAGACTGGTCTCAAACTCCTGACCTCAGGTAATCCACCCGCCTCGGCCTCCCAAAATGCTGGGATTACAGGCATGAGCCACTGTGCCCGGCCCAAAATGAAGTTTTTTGACCCTTGAGCAAAAAAATATGTTGAAGAATGTGTTTTATTTTCACATTTCTTTTATTTCCTAGTTTCTTTCAGTTTTGGTCAGAGAACATACAGTTTATTATTTTGGTCTTAAGTTTATTTATTGTTGTTTCTGAGACAGGCTGGAGTGCAGTGGCATAATTTTGTCTCACTGCAGCCTCAGTCTCCTGGGCTCAAGTGATCCTTTTCCTCAGCCTCCTGAGTAGCTGGGGCTACAGACATGCACTACCATGCCTGGCTAATATTTTGATCATTTGTAGGGACAGGTTCTCACTATGTTGTCCAGGCTGGCCTCAAACTTCTGGCTTTAAGTCATCCTCCCACCTTGAAATCCCAAAGTGTTGGGTTATAAGCATGAGCCCCTGCACCCAGCTAGTATTCTTATGTTAATAAGACTTGATGTATGTCCTAACAGAATACACCAGCTGCAAATAAGAATATTGTGTATTCCCTTGCTTTTGACTAGAAAGTTTTGTACATGTCTGTTAAGCCTAGTTGGTCTATGATATTGATTGGATGTTCACGTTCTCCAAACCTCATGCTGCGATGTAATCCTCAATGTTTGATGTGGGACATGGAGGAAGGTGCTTGGGTCATGGGGGCAAATTCCTTATGAATGGCTTGGCACTCTCCTCTTAGTAATCAAAAAGTATACACTCCATCAATTCAAGTGAGAGCTCATTTATTAAAAGAGTAGATAGATATGGTAACTTAGATTACTGGTAAATTGACCCATTTTACCATTATATAATATCAGTCTTTATCTCTTACTGGTACTTAAAGCATGTATGTTTGATATAATCATGACTACCTCACCCAATTGTGGTTGCTATTTGCATAGATATAGATCTTTTTCATTCTGTTACTTTCAGCCTATTTGACTTAGTGCCAAAATGGATCTCTTTTAGGCAGTATATTACATTCTTTCTTACTTATTTATTTACATATTTATTTCTTTTTGAGATAGGATTTCCTCTGTCAACCAGGCTCGTTTGCAGTGGTGTGATCATGGCAATGAGCTGCAGCCTCAACCTCCCAAATTCAGATGATCTTTTCATTTCAGCCTGTCAAGTAGCTGGTTACAGGCATGTGCCATCATACCCAGCTGGTTTTTTGTATTTTTTGTAGAGACAGGGTTTTCCCATGTTGCTGAGGCTGGTCTCAAACTCCTGCAATCAAGTGATCAGCACACCTTGACCTCCCAAAGTCCTGGGATTACATTTCTTTTTATTAAGTAGTTTAATTTATATTTAAAATGATTTTTTAAAGAAATGATGTTACTATTACCAGTTTCATTGTTGTTTCTTGTGTAGATATGTTTTTTCTCATTTCCTGTTTTACTCCTTAAATTTTTGTTTAATCTCATAGTGACATGCTTTATTTTTTGTTTTGCATAGTTTCTATAAATATTATCTTCGTAATCATCTTGAAAAAGGAAATTATAAAAAACATCTTAAAACAGTTTCTAGTTTGTTACTAATATTACAAATTATTTTATATTGTGTTTCTATTAACAGATTTATTCAGATTCATATTTTGTTTTTTGTATTCTATAGAAGAACTTTAAGGGTTTGATGCTCCATCATTATGATAGTAAAGAATTCTATGTTTGTCTATATTTACATTTAATAGAGAGCTTTTTATTTATATATGGTTTTCTGATGCTGTCCAGCATTATTTTATTTTTCAACATAATGGACTCATTTTAGCATTTCTCTTTTTGTATATGCAGTGTCTCACTATGTTGCTCAGGCTGCTCTTGAACTCCTGGTCTCAAGTGATCTGATTGCCTTGGTCCCCTAAAGCTGTAGGATTTCAGGCATGAGCCATGGTGCCTGCTCACCATGTAGCATTTCTTATAGGACTGTGCAAGGGATAATTAACACCCTTACCTTTTATTTTGGAAAATCTATTTTTTTCTTGTTTTTAAAGTAAAACGATTTCTAACCGAGTGTTATTGGTTAGGAATATTTTTTCTCTTATTACGTCAAAATTTGGAAAGTTCTCAGACTTTTTTATCTTCAAGTATCCTCTGTACTACTTTTTTTTCTATATTCTTCTAAGATTTCTTCCATGAATATATTGATTTAGTTGATGGTGTCCAATAATTTTACATTCTGTGTTTTAATTTTGTTTTGGACTTTGACTACATCACTCAGTTTCTTTATGGCCTGCAAAATTTTTGTTGACAGTTCACTGGTTATCTCATAAGACTATGCATATAAATGACATATTACTTCTGTCTTACAGCTCCCAAGGCTCTCTTCTTGTCTGTAACTTCTGTAATTGTGCTTATATATGTGTTATAAGTATCTTTGTGTATATCCTAGTTTGTCTAGCTTCTTCATTTTTTATTTTATGATTTTTAGTTACTGTTTTTTCTTGTATTTTTTACCTCTACAATTTCTGAAGGGGTGTTGATATTTTGAATATTTTTGTTGTTATCCTCATTTGTCTGATTTTCAAAAATCATCTGTGTTTCTATTTCACTCATGGAATATTATTCAATTTATTTTCAATTTCTTTAATTTATAACTTTATTTTTTATGGTTGCTTTCTAAAAATTTTATAATTTTTTGACGGGGCCATGTTGCCCTAATATTTTGTATACATTGTAATCTTTGATTGAGATTTGGACATTAAAAAAAAGCTGCCTGTTACAATCTTTATTATGTAGCCTTGTCCTGGCATAATCTTAAACCAGTTGTCTTGGCTAGAGATTCCCTGAGTCTCTCAAACATGTTCTTAGGATGTATCTTGTCTGAAATTTTGTGTTTACTTTTTAGTTAAAGGAATTGATTTGTGTTTTTTGATAAGTTAGGAATCAGTTGCTACACGTTTGTTGTCTGTAGTGCTGCTGCATTCTCTCTGCTGCTATAATGTTTACCTTTGATCTCAGCAAACTGTCATTCCAAAGTATACCACCATTTCTTTCAGCGCTTTATGGCATGGGAGACAGAAACCAGTGTCTAAAAAGGCCCCTAGAGGCGAGAAATAAAGATGTATGTGCCAGTATTCTTGTCTTCTAAAAAAGAAACCAGGAATTGGCAATTTACTGCTAAAGGCACTGGGTTATTGAGGAGCAGGAAGAGCTATGTTGTGTAAACATAACACAGTTTTCTTTTCCTTCTATGTAGCCCTTTGCATTGTTCTCACCTGGGGCACTGTACACATTTAACTCATTTATAACTTTTCCACAAATGTATTTTGGTCAGTATGTTTTTATTACGTTTATATTTCTATAAGGAATTAGGGCCTGTAATATTTTGCTGTGCCATCTTGCTTATGTTGTAGTTTGTATAATTTTATAGGTTCAATTTGTAAAGTATATTCATCTGAGTCTAGTAAGTGAAGTAACTTGTTATTTTAATTTTTTTCAGTTATGTGTTCTCATTTTACCCAAGATGTTTGGCCAGAGCAGAGCATAAAAGATTCTTTCCAAAAAGTGATACTGAGAACATGTGGAAAGTATGGACATGAGAATTTACAGCTAAGAAAAGACCATAAAAGTGTGGATGCATGTAAGGTGTACAAAGGAGGTTATAATGGACTTAACCAATGTTTGACAACTACTGAGAGCAAAATATTTCAGTGTGATAAATATGTGAAAGTCTTTCATAAATTTTCAAATGTAAATAGAAGTAAGATAAGACATACTGGAAAGAAACCTTTCAAATGTAAAAACCGTGGCAAATCATTTTGCATGCTTTCACAATTAACTCAACATAAGAAAATTCATACTAGAGAGTATTCTTACAAATGTGAAGAATGTGGTAAGGCCTTTAACTGGTCCTCAACACTTACTAAACATAAGATAATTCATACTGGAGAAAAACCCTACAAATGTGAAGAATGTGGCAAAGCTTTTAACCGGTCCTCAAATCTTACTAAACATAAGATAATTCATACTGGAGAAAAACCCTACAAATGTGAAGAATGTGGCAAAGCTTTTAACCGGTCCTCAACCCTTACTAAACATAAAAGAATTCATACAGAAGAGAAACCCTACAAATGTGAAGAATGTGGCAAGGCCTTTAACCAGTTCTCGATTCTTAATAAACATAAGAGAATTCATATGGAAGATAAACCCTACAAATGTGAAGAATGTGGCAAAGCCTTTAGAGTATTCTCAATTCTTAAAAAACATAAGATAATTCATACTGGAGAAAAACCGTTCAAATGTGAAGAATGTGGCAAAGCCTTTAACCAGTTCTCAAACCTTACTAAACATAAGATAATTCATACTGGAGAGAAACCCTACAAATGTGATGAATGTGGCAAAGCCTTTAACCAGTCCTCAACCCTTACTAAACATAAAAGAATTCATACTGGAGAAAAACCCTACAAATGTGAAGAATGTGGCAAAGCTTTTAAACAGTCCTCAACCCTTACTGAACATAAGATAATTCATACTGGAGAGAAACCCTACAAATGTGAAGAATGTGGCAAGGCCTTTAGCTGGTCCTCAGCTTTTACTAAACATAAGAGAAATCATATGGAAGATAAACCATACAAATGTGAAGAATGTGGCAAAGCCTTTAGTGTATTCTCAACCCTTACTAAACATAAAATAATTCATACTAGAGAAAAACCCTACAAATGTGAAGAATGTGGCAAAGCCTTTAACCAGTCCTCAATTTTTACTAAACATAAGATAAATCATACTGAAGGGAAATCCTACAAATGTGAAAAATGTGGCAATGCTTTTAACCAGTCCTCAAACCTTACTGCACATAAAATAGTTTATACTGGAGAGAAACCCTACAAATATGAAGAATGTGACAAAGCCTTTAACAACTTCTCAACCCTTATTACACATCAGATAATTTATACTGGAGAGAAACCCTACAAACATGAATGTGGCAGAGCCTTTAACAAATCCTCAAATTATACTAAAGAGAAACTACAAACCTGAAAGATGTGAGAGTGATTTTGACTACATCTCAAACTTTTCTAAACATAAACCATACTGGTGCCCTAGAAATGTGAGGAATGTGACAAAGCCTTTAAATGGTTGTCACACTTGATTGTAGGTAAGATAATTTATAATGGAGAAAAATCCTACAAGTATGAAGAATGTGGCAAACTTTTAACCAATCCTCACACCTTATTGCACAGGAAAGCATTTATACTTGAGAAAAATTCTATAAAGAATATGGAAAAGCCATTTATATCTGCTCACATCTGAACATCAGAGTGTTAATACTTAATAAAATGCAGTTACTGTCAAAAGATCTTTCAGAAAATATAAGCCTTTAACATGAGGAAGAGTATTGTTAAGACAAACATTGCAAATAGAGGGTTGTAGTACCTTTACGTTTGTGATAGATCTTATTGTACACATTTTGTGCCAGAGGAAAACCCTAAAGCATTAGTTGCTCAAACTGTTCAACATCAGGGAGTTTTATATTGGAGAAAAACCCTGCAAATGTAATAAATATGGAAAAACATTTTTTTAAAAAACTACAGCTTGGAAAACAGTTCATTCTAAAATATATTTTTGCAGATGCAGTAAATATGAAAAATATTTAATCCAAAATTAAGTCTATGTAAATATCAGAGAATTCACAGTGGAAATCATAAGGCATGAGGCACTGACACTTCAGACATTACACTAAATTAGAGTGTTGGGTATAGGAAATTCAAAACTAGAATTTTGTTAGATAAGTTATTTATATATAACTTTAAAAGAAGTGGAAGAGTTTTTGGAGATTTATAATTACATTCAAAGTATACTTTTTTCTTGAAAAAAATTACAGATTATTTGAAAAGCAATTAATAATGTAATTTAACTCTCAAATTCATGTTTTTCTTCATTCCTATTGTATTCACATGTGAAATCAAGTGATCAGTTGTTGCTGAATCAGAGATATGAGAGATTCTTTTTTAAAGGTGGGCATTATTTATGCCCCTTTCTATGGAAGAGTAAGAAAATTAAAATATAAGATGCATGAGGAAAATGTAGAGATGCTCTTTGTGGTTAACTTAGAATATTAAGTGCTGCTTGAGGTACATGTTTAGACTAATATTCTTTGGCAGTATAGTGAGAAAACATTTTCAGTTAGAATTAGTGTATAATTTTGTTGATTGTGCTTTTATGTAATAAAATGCAGTACTTTAAAAAAATTGATTGTGTGTGAACTTAATTTTGTAATTAAACATTTTTTTTTTAACATGCTAAGACTTGTGTATTTGATGAAGTGTTATTTTGCCACTGACTTTTACCTATCCCACGTTACTCAAGGGTGTGAGGTAAAAGATGGTAACAGTATATTATTTGGTAACATAGTGGACTTACCTCTCTAGTAATCTTTTCCAGTGGCTTAAACTGCAAATACATTAAAGAATAGTGTTCCCATAGGTTAAATTTTTATCTTTTTAAAATTTAAATTTATTTTTCTTAATATTTGTGGGTACATAGTGTATGTATTTATGCCATATATGCCATATTTTGATACAGACATACAATATGTAATAATGACATCAGAGTAAATGAGGTATTCACCTCTAGCATTTTATTCTTTGTATTACAGACAATCCAGTTCTATCTACACTTTTATTTATTTTAAAATGTACAATTGTTATTGACTACAGGGTCATTTTTATGGTCATAATAATAATTATACAGAAGTAAAAATAAAATCCATATTTCTGAGACCTAAATTTTATTTTTAAAAATTTGTTTTGTATTTTACTTTGAACATGTGGCCTCTGTGCCTGCAAACGCACACAGACGTTTAGTTTTGATTTACATAAAGATATATTACTGAAAAAATAAAGCTTAGGTATAAGAAAATTATGAAGTATGTTTTTGTAAGTATGAATTTCTATTTTCAGAAGAAACTGAGAAAGCATTAATAAGGTGACTACTAGAAAACTAAAAACCTCAAATATGTGTAAGGCAAATCTATATGCTGCTTTGTATTGAATTCATGACTATAAGATCTTAGGGCTTATGGTTCATAACCTCCCCAGGCAATTTCTCTGTTTTACTTGCCTGGTACTCATGCGAGACCCATAATTTTTCTGTTTCTTATAATGTGTTTTATAGTTTTTGAAGTATTTATTATGTGAGCTCATCAGGGATTATAAATTATTTTTATAAAATTGCACACAAAAATAACTTTTAGATGTAATTCCACAATTAGTGTATTTTATTTAGTTAGAACATTCCATTTTGTTATTTTACTTGGAGAACCCTATATAAGTCTCCCTTTTTGTTTTTTTTTTTTTTTGGGATGGAATTTTGCTCTTGTTGCCTAGGATGGAGCGCAGTGGCATGATCTTGGCTCACCGCAGCCTCCGCCTCCTGGGTTCCAATGATTCTCCTGCCTCGGCCTCCAGAGTAGCTGGGATTACAGGCACGTGCCACCATGCCTGGCTAATTTTGTTTTAGTAGAGAGAGGGTTTCTCCATGTTGGTCAGGTTGGCCTCGAACTCCCGACCTCAGGTGATTCACCTGCCTTGGTCTCCCAAAGTGCTGGGATTACAGGCGTGAGCCACTGCACCCAGCGGTAAGCCTACTTTTAGTTATTGCTGCTTCCAGATTTTGTTCTGTTTGAGACGTAGGCTTGGTCTTGTTGCCCAGGCTGGAGTGCAATGGCACGATTTTGGCTCACACAACTTCCACCTCCCGGGTTCAAGCAGTTCTACCTCAGCCTCCTGAGTAACTGGGATTACAGGTGCCCACCACCACACCCTGCTAATTTTTGTATTTTTAGTAGAGACAGGGTTTGGCCTTGTTGGCCAGGGTCGTCTTGAACTGACCTCGTGATCCGCCTGCCTTGGCCTCCCGAAATGCTGGGATTACAAACATGAGCCACCGCGCCCAACTGCTTTCAGATTTTTTAATTGACAAGTAAATTTATGTATTGAGCCAATTTGTTAGGGTATGTACTAGGGAGGCTTCATAAGTCAGGATTTTTTTTTTTTTTTTTTTTTTTTTTTGAGACAGTCTCGCACTGTTTCCTAGGCGGGAGTGCAGTGGCGCGATCTTGGTTCACTGCAACCTCTGCATCCCAGGTTCAAGCGATTCTCCTGCCTCAGCCTCCCAAGTAGCTGGGATTACAGGCACCCACCACCAAGCCCAGCTAATTTTTTGTATTTTTAGTAGAGACGAGGTTTCACTGTGTTGGCCAGGCTGGTCTCAAACACCTGACCTCGTGATCTGCCCCCCTTGGCCTCCCAAAGTGCTGGGATTACAGGCGTGAGCCACTGCGCCCGACCAGGATGTTTTTATATATGAATGCAGCAAACAAACATGACAGTGCTTGCTGTATAACAGATGCTTAATGATAACCCATAAGTACACTCTGTCTTGGCTTACTGCAACCTCTGCCTTCCAGGTTCAAGCAATTCTTCTGTCTCAGCTGCTGGAGTAATTGGGTCTACAGACACACATCATTACACCGGGCTAATTTTTTGTGTTTTTAGTACAGATGGGGTTTCACCATGTTGGCTAGGGCCTGGTCTTGAACTCCCGATCTTAAGTGATCTGCCCACCTCAGCCTCTAAAAGCACTGGGATTACATGCATGAGCCACTGTGCTCAGCCTTCAATGCCATTTTTTATAGATTTAGAAGAAGTAACTATTTTAAAATTCATATGGAAGGATAAAAGAGCCCAAATAGCCACAGCAAGTTTAAACAAAAACAATAAACCTGGAGGTCTCATATTACCCAACTTCAAATTGTACTACAAGCTACAGTAACCAGTACAGCATAGTTCTGGTACAAAAAAATATATATATAGGCTAATGAAACAGAGGAGAGAGCCCAGAAAAAAAGCTACACTTCTACAATCAACTTATTTGTGACAAAGTCAACGAAATAAACCAAGGGAAATAACCCCCTATCCAATAAATGGTACAGGGGAAAACTGGACCCCTACCTCTCACCATATAAAAAATGTAACTCAAGATAGATTAAAGACTTGACAGTGAGACTAAACTATAAAAATCCTAGAACACTTAGAAAGTACTTCACTAGACTTTGGCCTCTAGAAAGAATTTATGACTAACACCTTAAACATGAGTGCAAAAAATAAATAAATGGAAGTTGACACCTAATTAAAGAGCTTCTGCACAGCAAAATAAATTATCGACAAACAGACAATCTACAGTATGAAATAAGAGATTTGCAAACTGAATACAACAAGGGATTAATATATATGATCTATAAGAAATTTAATTTTTAAAAGCAGACAAATGATATATAAATAGGCACTTCTCAAAGGAAAACATAAAAGCTGCCAAAAAAAACCAAATTGGCCAGAGTGGGGGTTCATGCCTATAATCTCAGCACTTTGGGAGGCTGAGGCAGAAGGATCACATGAGGCCAGGAGTTTAAGACCAGCCTGGCCAACATAGTGAAACCCCATCTGTACTTAAAATATGAAACTTACCAGGTGTGTTTGTGCATGCCTGTAGTCCCAGCTACTCAGGAGGCTGAGGCAGAAAGATCACATGAGGCAAGGAGTTCAAGACCAGCCTGGCCAACATAGTGAAGCCCCGTCTATACTTAATATACAAAACTTAGCCAGGTGTGTTGGTCCATGCCTGTGGTCCCAGCTACTCAGGAAGCTGAGGCACAAGAATCACTTGAACCCAGGAAGCAGAGGCTGCAGTGAGCTGAGATTCTACCATTTCACTCAAACCTGGGTGACAGAGTGAGACTCTGTCTCAAAAAAAAAAAAAAAAAAAAAAAGGTTGCTCAACTTTCCTAATAATCAGAGAGGTGTAAATCAAAATGACAACGTGATACCATCCCACACCAGTTAGAATGGCTGTTATTAAAATTAAAAAAAAAAAATGTTGAAGTCGTGAAAGAAAGGAAATTTGTATACACTTTTAGAAATGCAAATTAGTTCAGCCTTAGTGGAAAGCAGTTTGGAGATTTCTCAAAGAACTAAAAATACAACTGCCATTTGACCTATCAACCCCATTACTGGGTATTTACCCAAAGGAAAAGAAATTATTTTATCAAAAAAGACACCTGCACTCACATGTTTATTGTAGCACTATTTATAAATAGCAAAGACATAGAATTAAACTAGGAACCCATGAATCTTAGACTGGATAAGAAAAATGAGATACTTATACACCATGCAATACTATACAGTCACAGAAAAAAAATGAAGTAATGTCCTTTCAGCAACATAGATGCAGCAGAAGATCATTATTCTAAGCAAGTTAACTCAGAACAGAAAAATACCACATGTTCTCACTTATAAGTGGGAGCTAAACATGGGGTGCACATGGAAACAAAGATGGAAAAATAAACACTGGGAATTCTAAGAAGGAAGGAAGGAAGGAAGACAAACATTGAAAAACCACTTACCAGGTATGATGTACATACACTACTTGAGCAATGAAATTATTCAGTGTCCACCAAACATCAACGTCATGCAATATACCTGTGTTACAAATCTGCATATGTACCCCTTGAATCTAAAGTAAAAATAATGAAATATTCTGTGGTGTATAATGACATATTGCATTTCTCCAGTTTTGGGTTAATAGTCAAAATTAGGGGTGAAAGACACAGAATTATGTCTCTTTTATGCATATGGGTGAATGTTTCAGATGAAAAGTTTCATTTAAATGAAACTTTTAGATATGTGCATGTTCAAATTTATAATTCAGAAACTATAATTTTTTAAATAAACTATATAAAAACTAAAAATATAAAGTATCAATTTAGTTTTCTCAGCTTTGAAATACTGTCATTATTTCTAGATGACAGAACACTAGATTTCAGGTTCTGTGGCTGTAGAAACTGGACATGTTTTGATTGACTCTGCTTTACTTCCTGCCTTCCTGTTTTGCACAAACACAGCAGCACAAGGAAGGCCAGAAAGGCTGCACCTTGATTGCAAACACACCAGGGCCCTTCTAGGGGAATATATGTGTGAGCATATTATCTTGAAATTCATGGCATCTTTTGTGGAAGTACAGATGTCTATATGGCAAATAATAAAGAAAAATAAAAATTAGATATTTCAGTAGCATCAGAAAAGTATTCTAAAAGTACTTCTGGCCCATTATTCTTTCTTTTTTTTCATCAGAATGGTTTTGATGGAATGAGCATTTACAGCAGTGTGGTTTTAAATAACCCACATTCTCTGTCTCATCATTCTTGGGCTATGGCCATAAGAATTTTATTTTTTAAAAAATATTTTCTTTTCCTAATTCAGTAATTTTGCATGATTTTCACAGCCTCACGTTTTCAAAATTAAATGGCTTATTCTAAGAAACATGTGATTAAACTACTCACCATTTTTCCCAAAAAGAGTAGAGTAGCAAACTAACTCTATTGTCTAGTGTAGTTAATAAATAAAAAATAATGCTGTAGAGTCATTTATTTTAGCTGTACATTTGGAAATAAAACATTTCTTGGGTTATAGGCCAAGAGGTTTCAGAGATGTTAGCTTATAGAATTTCAAAAGACCTGGTGTACAAACATTCACCCCTATGGATAAATAGAAATATGTTGTTAAAAATGAGTTTAAAAGAAACTTAACGTGTTCATTAAATAACATTTAAAACCACAGTGTAAGTGACTAATTAGCAATTTCAATCTATTTTATTTTAGTCACTGAGAAAACTTAATATACTTTAATTATTTATTGTGGGATCCCATTCAGAATCCAAGGTAGATTCATCA